TCTCCTGGTTTCCCTCCTGTGTTTGTTAAAATAGCCACTTTGCAGGTTTTGTGAATGCCATCCTCAGTTCACTAGTACCAGTTACCTTCTTCAGATTTCATGGGGTCCCAAGTAGTGGGAATGACTCCATGTAAAGGGACAGTCAGGGCCTGGAGCAGAGGAGGGCTCCTCAAGACCCACCTGACCCCAGGGCATTCTGGGGGAGAGAATGAAACACGCCCCCAGGGGCTGCAGGTGGTAGTGGAGGACCCCTTAGGTTGGTACCAGATTCGGGGAGTTAGTGTGAAACGCAGCTTGACCATGAAAACTGGTCAAGTTCAGGCCATGGGATTTGGGTTCCTCTCTCCCCACCCCATAACCTTGAGGGAATGGCTTTACCTCTGCCCCCAGCGCCATCTCTCTGGTGTGTTGCATTTCTCCGTGGAAAGTCACTGGCTTGCAGACTGGAACCATGAGAGTCACCTGCTCAGGGCACGGGCATCTGGAAGGCACAGAGGGCAAAGGAAGACTGCGCACGGAAGCCGTAGATGCTGCGAGGGGCGGGCTGGATGTGCTAGTGCGGAGCGTGTGCGCTGAGCCCCGCTTAGTGGCTGCTCGGTAGCTCCGTGCGCTCGCCGCAGGAAGGCAGGAAGGAGTGGTTTCAGTGACCTCCCATCCCTTTATACTGTTCGTCTCTGACTACCAAAATCCAAAAACAGCAATAACAAAAACAGAAAGAAAAAACTCCAAGTCACTTAAAGTAGTCATTTAGGGGGAAAAAAAAAAACAACAGTCTTTGCATTGGCCGGGAATCGAACCCGGGCCTCCCGCGTGGCAGGCGAGAATTCTACCACTGAACCACCAATGCTTTGATAGCACAGGTCTTCTTAAAGTGGCCTAGGTGGTTGTGCTACGAGCTTGTGCTTTGCTCCCCACGTAGAAAGGAGGTGCTGGGGAAGGGTGAAGCAGGAAAGTTGAGCACACATACCGTGGCTCATTTTTCTATCTCTGTGGATGGGCCTCCGAACAGTGGTTCCTAGGCAGTCCACCTAGACCTCACGCCAGAGGAGGGGTGGGGGCTGAGAATCTCACCCCAGTAACTGGGACCCAGTGGAATGAAAGAGGCAAGGGCTCCCAAACATCCTCATTTGGCCTCAGGGGCCCCCTTAGGTCACGCAGGTGGTTGCAGAGCTAGGGGCCATGTGGCCTGGAGCAGTGGAGGTTGTCAGGGCAGCACCAGAAAGTCTGTACACCACCCCCACCCTTACCGGTACGTCCTCTCTCCTGCAACTCACCCACCCTGTCCAGGCCCAGGCCCTCAGGACCCAATTGTCCATCTGCCCTGGGAGCTCCCACCCCTTCTCAGCACCAGTTTCCTGGAGTGCAAGGGTGGGTGATAAGGGGTGAGTGGGCAGGGTGACCCTAAGGCCTTTCAGCTTCATCCTTTCTCCAGGGCCTGGAGTAGGTGGGAGGTCACCTAGAGCAGGAGTGGGGGTGGAGTGGCCCGGAGCAGGGATGTGTGGCCTGGAATAGGTGGGTGGGCCTGGATCAGGGGGAGGTCACCTGGCCATAGCTCTAACCCCGCCTGGTGCTGAGATTCCCACACAAGGATTAGGGGTTCTCATACCCCAACTATGCTTTTGGCCTGATTTAATAACTCTCTTCATCCTTTGCCAGACAACAGTCCAGAAGGTCAGCAGCATCGTGGCAGGCCGAGCACCTTTAAGGGTCTGACTCAGGCTGGGCTGGCTGCTAGGCGTAGGCAGCTGGGCCTGCCCTGGTGGCCGGAAACCTGCAGGCAATTGTCCCCTCCTGCTGTCTAGTGTCCTTTGTCAGAGGCCAGTGGAGGAGAAGCTTACTTGCAATGAGTTGGTCAGCATCTTACTGTGGTCTCCCAAAGTGACCTTGGGCAAGTCCTAGGGACCCTCCTGGCCGAGAATCCTGGATTCTGAAGCAAAGCTGTATACCTGTTTCCTCAAATTAGCCTGGCCTGGCGCATGTCCTCTGACTCCAGGCAGTGACCTTTCTGTTTGTGCCCTCTGCAGCAGTAACTATGACCTGGACTACGAGCTGTACAGGGAGGACACCCCCTACAGGTGGGTGAGCCTGCTCCTTGGGTCTTCTGGGCAGAGGTGGGGCTCCCCAGCCTGATGGCTGCTCTGCCTCACCCTGTAGGGTGTATGAATACCAAAGGATCCCCCCACTCATCAACCGTGTTCCAGTCAAGATCCGGAGGACCCACGTGGGCATGGGGGTCAAGAGTAGCTACAGCCCTTACAAGGCCCCCAGGCAGATAAAGCGTGAGTGAGGGGCAATTGAGGGGCGGCAGAGCCTTGCCTACAGAGCTGGGTACAGTGGGGAGCCCAGGCAGCTGGTGCTCATCGCTGGCCTCTCTGGCCCCTCCCCTGACAGTCCGGGCTCAGGAGCTACAGGTCATCAGGGCGGAGCTGAGCCAGATCAAAGCCCAAGTGGACAACCTACTGGAGAGTCTGGAGCGCATGGACCAGCAACCAAGCCAGACTGCAGGTCAGAGGCACCCATGTGACCCAGGCCTCAAACTGAGCAGAAAGAACCTGTCCCAATCTGGAAGATGCTAGGGTCCTGCAGTGGCTTTCCATCTTCAAGGTTCTACTCCCTCTAGTTTGACGACCCTTGTCGCTTTGAAGCTGTCCAGTCACCACAGCCAGGACCTGCCCCTTCCCAGCCCCTTGACCACTGGAGTGCCCCAGATCAGTCTGGGCATGATCTCCCAACCCTGCCACTGACCAGCGACTCTCCTTGCACAGGGATGGAGGACACTGCCGAGAACAGGAATCCTGGGAATGAGGGCTCTTTGTTTGGAACTGACTCCCTGCAGAAGATCAGGAGCAAGGACAGCACCAAGTCCCAGGGCCAGCGGGTCGCTGCTGAGGGGGCAAGCGCTCAGAACACCGACGAGGAGGAGGAGTGAGTGGGCTACCCCCGACCCCATCCCTACTGGTGTTTTTATGTAGTAGCCTCCCTGTGAGCAGGGGAGCAGTTAGGGTTTGTGGAGCCCTCAGGGAGCAGGCCCTGGAAAGTATGGCCCCACCTTGTCTTATCTCTCAGCTCTGGGCTGGGTGGGCTCAGCTGAATTAAGGGGCTGCTGTAACACCATCTCCTCCTGGAAGCTGAGAGGGAGGGTGGGTGATAACACACTGTAGCAGAGACGTGGCAGGTGGGCCTCATGGCTGCAGACCCCTTACATGAGAACCACCTGGGGACGTCTGTTTAAGTACAAGTTTCTGTCCTCATCCCAGCCTAGGTCTGGGGCTGTCTGCATTGTACAACAGCCCCCAGGGAAGTTGAGTCATGTTAACCCCACCCTGGAGGAGCAGTATGGCCAAGTATGGGACAAATAGTTCTGTGTAGCTTTGAAGGGCAGAATATCCCCTGCCCTCCCCTCTTTTCCTCCATGTGGTGGTCCCTGAAGACCAAGCTCCCATTGTTGCCCAGGCCCTAAGTCATATCTCCAGAACTTTCCCAGTTCCTAGGGTGTCAGCAGATGCCCCTCACTCCCAGTCATGCCATTGCGTTTCTAAACCACACTCCTGCTTGTCTCCCTCCAGGTGAAGAATCACATACCAGACCGGGAGGGCAACTGGTAAAAGGTTAGGTCCCTTCCAGGCTTTTCTGGGGTGGCCTCCTTCCCTGCCTCTATGTTTGGAAGCCCTCCTGGAGCTAGGGCAGAAGCAGAACCAAATTCAAACCAAGTTCAGCCACATCCCCTCCCAATAGCGGTGGACTTCAGCTTTGAATGTCATGTTTCCCAAGTCCTAGACCTGGCAGGACCTTTCTCCAGCCTCAGGAGCACAGGAAACACACCTGTGTTCCTACAGCCTCCCTCCCAGTCGGAAGCAGCTATAATGTCCAGGGGAGGACCTCACGTCATGTTTTTGATTCTAGACTTGTCCTCTACCCTACTAGTCATGCTTCAGAATCCCTGTATTTTTATGTACTCTCTGTATTTCAGATCTGCTCTGGAAAAATGTATTATGTCAGAAGGAAAAAAATAAAATTTCTATTCTTTTTTCTGGCCAAGGGTTCCTGATGTGATCCCAATGCTTCGTTCTGGGCCTTGGGCTCCCCTAAGGCCAACCCTTCCTGTAGAGGTTTTTGGAACCAGGCCTGCTCTATGCAACAGCCGAGCGCTATCTGGTCAACCAGAATTAAGCACCTGATTCTTGGCAGTTCACCTGCCCTTTCCCAAGCCCAGGCTGACCTGGGGCCAAATCTGGACAAAAGGCACTGGACCCTGAAGGCAGCCTGTCATCCCACTCATTATCATCAGCGGAGATGGCTACAGGAGGGATCTGGCTTTCATGCTGAGCAAAGCCCTTTCCGACCTTGGGGTTTGTTGCCCCTATCCACAACACTGAGCCAGGTATTAGGAGGTGCACCCACTGTTTCTGGGGTCACGTACTCTCCTGACTCTTGTAACCAGACAGCACTGTCCTGACTGGTACTAGGGTAAGCAGAGACAGCGTCCCCTCCTTCACCACTCTGCTGTTTCCAATAGTTCAGCCTGTCTTCTACTGGCCTTGGCTTGACAAGGGGGCACATCTAAAGCAGTGGTCTCTAGAGCCCAGTCCCAGAGGCGCCTTGTTCTTTAGAATCCTGTACCAAAAATCACTACAGAAACACTGTTCAGACACAAGTTTGTTTTGTTTTGTTTTAGTGCATACGTAAAAAGATACACAGCCCCTTGTCCATCCTCTCAAAAAGTGATGTAGAAGAAAGCTGATGGTTGGACTTGCATGAGTAAGGTCCACCTAGGTCTCGGTTTCCAAACCCAGCTGAAGTTCTTCCCAATTTGGGATCAGGCTGAATTCAAAGGATTCCTCAGCTCCAACAGAAAAGTTTCTCTTCTGGAAAGAACTGGTACAACAGCTGTCCAGAGCATCAGTTCTGGGCGGGGAAGAGGTGGCTGTTGCCCAAGCGCCTCCCCATGCCATCCTCTGCGGTGCTCTTCAGTTCTCACCTAGGCACAGTAACAGTCCGAGGCCAGCGGCCCTGGCCCTTGGCGTCGTCAGCGCAGGCTTCTAGCTCAGGACTGGGTGGTGGCACCCCTCCGGCGCGCGGCCCGCACCAGGCACTGCTGCAGCACGGGGTAGAGGCGCTGGCAGCCCTCGAGGCCCAGGCGCACGGCCTCGGCCCAGCTCTCGGTCGGGCCGCCTTCCCCGCTGCCCAGCAGTCCGGCCACCTGGTTGAGCACCGGCATGAGCGCCACGGTGAGGCCGGCGGCGGCGCGCTCCTCCTCGAGCCGTGTGGGGTCCAGCAGCCAGGTGGGCGCGGGGTCCGACGAGCGGCTCAGGCCGCAGCCCACTACAAGGTCGTACATCTCCACGCCGGCGTCGGCTAGGGCAAGCGCAGCGGCCGTAAGCGCGGCAGCCAGCGCCGAGCCGCCATCTTCCAGCAGCAGGGCCGACACCTCGAGCTGCGCGCGCGGGTAGCGGCCCAGGCGCACGGCCGGCTCAAGCGCCTCTTGCAGCGCCAGCGCCAGCTCGCGCTCCTCGCCGCCACCCGGGGGCGCGCGACGCCGGCGGCCCGCAAAGGGCGCGCGACGAAAGTCGCAAAGCAGGCGGCCGCGCAGAGCGGCCGGAGCTTCACCACCCGCCCCGGCCGGGCCGCCGCCGCGCTCACTACCCTCGGCCTGGCGCGGGCCCGACACGGAACACAGCACCTTCGTGCCGCCCGCCTCCAGGTAGGCCGAGCCCTTAGCCTGGCTCAGTAGCCCGGCGCGCGCGTACACGGGCCGCAGCCGCGTCGGGTCACGGGCAGCGGGCGTCTCGTCCTCGTCGAGAGCGTACAGCTGCGGGGGCTGCGACTCCTCGGGTCCGCGGATTCGGCGGTGGTCCCCGGGCATGGCGGCGCCAGGTGTGCGAGTCGCTTCCGCCCGTCGATTCTGCTCGCGCGCCGGTTCTTCCGCTCGCTTAAGACGCGCGCCGGCGCGGGGACTGTCGGGACAACGGCGGGACTGTACTGCCCCCTGCCGCCCTGAAGAAGGAACGGCGGGTTTCGCCGAACCCTGGCCGGCAGGTGGCACCAAGCAGGCCGGCTGACCTCCAGCCTCCTGGGTCAGGCATATTTGCTAAGACGGTAATTATTTTACAGATATTTGCGTAATTTCTGTGTGTTCCCTACTGCTTTCCGAACGCGATGGCTCTGTAGAGAAGCACTGGACTGTGAACCACAATGTCGGTGATTTGAGCTCACTAGATGAGGCTTTCTGCCCCTGTAGATTATTATAGACTCGGAAACCTTACAGAGGGTTGCTGTGAGTTAGGACAGACTGGATGGCACATAACTGCTCCCAGAGGACAAGGATCTTTTTTTACTGTTCACTCTTGTACCCTTCTTTTGGGGTTGTTGAATACTGTACAATAAATGAATGGAATTAACTTGCGTTACCTTCACACACAAAGAGCTCTGGTAGCGTAGTGGTTACGAATCGGGCAGCGAACTGCAAGGTCGGCAGTTTGAAACTACCAGCTGCTCCGCGGGTGAAAGATGAGGCTTTCTGCTCCCATAAAGATTTACAGCCTTGGAAACCCTGTTCAGGGTCACTATGGGTCGGAACCGACTCGACGGCACTTAACAACAGCCTTCACACACACATTCAGACTGCCCAATTATTTTTGTACCCGTGCTGGCTACAGCTAGAGCCTCAGCACCCTCTCTGTCTGCATCTCTCACCACAAGTGGTGCTGTCCAAACCCAGTTGTCTTCAGACTGTGGACAACTGGCCTCAGGGCCAGGACTGGGCATTTAAACCATCTCTGGTGAAGTAGGAATTGATCAGGCAGCGGCTGCACCCTAAACAGCTCCAATATTAGAGCAAGCCTCTGCATCCTGCATCTTTCTACCTCCATGTGACATGATCCCAGGAGCCACTGGGAGAGTTCAGGGGGCCTGGGGCTGGACCCAAGGACTGGTCCTTTCAGCCAGGAGCCCGCTGCAGCCACCCAGGGAGCCAGAAGCTGGGAGTTAGGGGGCACCTGGAAAGAGGGAGTGGATCACAAAGCATCAAGTATTGCACATGGTTCTTTTATTCTGTGCAGCACAAATGATTCCTACCTGCAGACCCCAAAACCTCAGGTCTGTAGCAAAGTATACACAGGTGTAGGCGATGATAAATAGCAATCCTGGAGTAGTGGTTCTGGACAGATGGCGTCACTATGAGGCTTGGGGTAGAAATGTTAAGTGGGCACTGAGTCACAGGGCAGGGCAGCGCCCACAGTGTGTTCCAGTTGCTTCTGGGTAAGGACAAACAGTGCTGCTTAATGGCCCGAGATTTGAAGGTCCTTGTGGTAGATGGAGCGCTCCCATCTGGACAGATGTGTCTCAGCAAGGGACAGATACAGACGCCCCTCCTTTCAGTTCTTCACATCACCCAGGCGGAGCTGGGCAAAAGATGTGGCCAGCTGTAACGCTTCCTGCAAGCAACCTACATTCTTGCCTGTGGCCTGGGCAGACACATCTTTGCCGCCACCTTTGCCATCCATCAGCCCTGATACCTGCTGCACCCATTCGCTGGCCTTCAGGCCTCGGTTGGCGGCATTCTAGAAGACAGGAAGGGGAAGTGAAGATCAGATGGGTTGAGAATGAGGGGGTATGGTGAGGAGGGAAGGAAGAATGCCCTGTGTGAGGACTGGAGCTGCCCACTGGAGGTGGAGACAGATTCTAGAACAGGTGTGTGTGTGTGTGGGGAGGAACGGGACGACGACACTGATGGCCCCTGCCAAAACAAGGACATGCCAAGTATGAGCTAGTACAGTTCAACTTCCTCAACAGAGAGAAGGGGCACATGGGGACAAAGACAAGAGAACAGCTGACTGTGGGAAGAACTGAGCTCCTCTGAAGTGCTGTGGACAACTCTCCCCACCCGAGGAGGCTGGCAGGGGCAGGGGTAGGGTGTAGGCGCTCCTACCTGGGGGACCTGACACAGGCATGTGATCTTGCCAGCTTCATTGTCCACCGTGAAGAGCATGGCAGCTGTCTGAGGGGAATGTGTCTTGAAAAGCTTCAAGGCTTCATTCAGGGCCTGTGGAAAGAATCTGGGGTCAGGGTCACAGGCCTGGGGTCAAGGCAAGTTTGTGGGCGCCCACCCCAAAGCACATTTTTGAGAGCAGATGCCGTCCTGGGAGGTTGTATGCAGGCTCCAACTCCAAGGTTGGCTCTGCTGCGAGGACCTGCGGCTGTATGGCCAGTTCTTGTGACTCAGTGTGACCTCCACCCTGACAGTGGGCTCTCAGAGCCAGGGGAATAGAACAACCAGTGGGAACCCAGGCATGCTTGCCTTGGCCGAGGCACCACTCTCCATCTCCAGGATGACAAGGGGCTGGTTGGGGTGGCAGTCAATAAGTTGCTTGGTCTTCTCCAACACCTGTGGGAAGAAAGCCCAGAAGGGAACCTCAGAGCAGGGACCGAACCTTCTCAGCCTTCGCTGAGCAAATCCGCTCTGCCTCCTTCTCACCACCAGCACTGCCGGGACTCACTCGCTTCTGGACATCGGCTTTGCTCGCGCGGTCAAGGTCATCCATGACCTTCTTCAGGGACTTGAGGTCCTCCCGGAGTTCATCCTTCTGCCACTGAGGGATGACAGCAGTGGCTAGGGCCTGGAACCACAGCAGGGAGACCCTGTGATCAGACTGGGAGCTAGGAGATGAAGCCCCACCACAGCTTTGAATGCCAAAGTCCTCTCAATCAAGTGTCCAGGAGGACAGAAGAGGAGGAAAATAGTAAAAAGGAGGTGGTGTCTGCTGGTGTTCAGAGCAGCTCCAGCAGGGCTGTGACTCAGAGCTATGCCCCCCGATAGTAATAACCACTCCGCAGGTTTGGACAGAGGCCTTTGGAGCATTTTCCCCAACTCCTTGCACATTAATGCTAGGGATGTGCTCTCCAGCCATGTGGGGTCCAGCACGTTCTTCTAGAACAGGAAGACTGTTCCACAAGAGCGCACCAAGCAGGGTCCAGTGCCTGATGAACAGAACAGGTCCTGGGAGGCTGTCCTTACCTCACCGAGGTCAGCTATCTCCCGCTGCACATCCTTGTTGGGCGCAGTCTGGGCCTTCACCTTGGCCTCCATGACAGAGATTGATTTCTTCAAGCTCTCTGCTTTCCTGAGGGCCTGGGCGGAACAATAGGAGTGATACACCTGGGGTCAGGTAACTTCTGACTTCACTATTCCACTGGGAATCAAAGGTGGCAAGCCCAGGCAGTAGGCTGTGAAGCAACCTATCCCAAGATGACAGAAGTTTCTCTTCCTTCAGGGAGCAAGGGTCAGAAGCCTGTTGCCCTGACATACCTGGTTAGCAGGGAGGTGGCGCCCTAGCTTGGGTTTGGGGGGTGACCAAGAATTTGCAAAACAAGAGCTGTTGTCACCCAAGAAATGACCACCCTCTGACTTTGGGAGACTCCAGGCCTAAGCTGCAGTACACATCCTCAGAGTAACCCCACCAGGCACTTCCGTATCAGGAGGTGGCCCTGGGACTGTGTCTGAAGAACTGTGGCTTCCTCCCCAGGCATGGGAACCCATGGAATCTTGCCCAGTGGTGGTGGTCTTCTCCCGTCAGTAAGGGATTAACTGGGGGAAAGTTTTTGGGGTCGGACAGTCTGTACCTTCAATTCGGCCTGCAACAGCCATACAACCATTTGCACCTGTAGACTCACAAGAGGGGCTTGTTTTGCTCCAGGGAGCCACGTCAGTCTGGTTTACTCACCTTCTGGGCTTCGGCACCTGTGACGGCAACAATCCTTCGGATGCCCTTGGCAATAGCTTCTTCACTCACAACCACAAACGCTCCTGCGTGGCTGGAGTTCTGCAGGTGCCTGAAGCGTGAACAGAGAGTCTGAGGTGAAGGAGAAGCCCCATCCAGGTCTCCTCAGCACACCTGGGGGCATTTGAGCCCTATTGGCAGGGCTTCCTGAGGAAGGTTTGCCGACTGTATTTTGACTTCCCTTCATGTTACAAGGGGTCAGGAGAAGCAGCAGGAAGGGGAAGGGAGCCAGCACGAGCCTGGGCCTCAGAGCAGCACCTTTCTTAGCCTCAGTTTCAAACTAGAGAAACGTGAAAGCGCTTTGTAATCCCTACTGTCCAGAATAAATGTTACTGCTGTCAGGCTGCTAAATTTACTTGCATAATTGGTCCTCTTTGGGACAATGTGAACTATATTCTCACACCCCCACTTAAGAGCTGAGAATGGTAGAGGATAACTTCTTCCCCACTAGCTCAGGGAACCGTAGCCACTCATGACCTCCCTGCCACTCTGTGAGGGAGGTGTGAAGTCTGCAGCTGTTGCCAGGGTTCTAAAGCTTGTTGTGCAAACAGGTCTTGAGGCAGAAGTTAGAATCACTTGTCCAAGGAATAACTTGAGCCCTCAGGTCCCCAACTTGCCCTCTGCATACCCCACCTACCTAGGACTTACAAGAGGGCCTATCATGGGTGGGTTCTACCATGGCCTTAAGAATGTCTCTGGAAGCAAGGGACGTCCCAGGCCACTATGACCTTTCCCAAAAGAAGCCAAGGGCTATGGAGGACTCCAACTCGACAGAAACCAACAGGTCTCATAAGCCAAACTGAGCTGGTTCTACCATGTGGCCTGACTCCAGGGTTCAGAGCCTGAGGTATTCTCCTGGAGCCCTCATGGCAGTAATAAGGTGAGCATACAGGGACTACCAAGGACTCGGAACAGCTCTGGAGTTCAGTGAGCATGCCTAGGCTTGCGAAACCTCAACTCAGGACCCAGCCTTCTGTCAGGACCAGCCCAGGGAACAAATAGGCGTGTGTGTGTGCTAAGTATTACCCTCTTCTCAACCATGGAAGAGCTTTTCCTCATACCCCCAGGCCTGTCAAGGGCAGATGCTGAGGGGTCTGGCTGGAGCACAAGG